TAATTATAGACTATTATCCCCCCTTCCTCCCCCCCCCCTATTCTCTATCTGTCTCTCTCTTATAATTTCAATTTATAAATTAAAGCGTTTAAAAATGAAATAGTGTATATATGTTTATTAATTCTGCCATCTTGTTGTACTATTGTACATATATGCTTGTAATTTGCTGGGAAAGGGCTTAATATAAGTTTGATAACTTGTGCCCAATCTATTTGCTTGGCAATAACATATGTTTAAACAAACGATATAGTCTCGAAACTGTTAAACGCGCGTAAAAATAAGTCTTCTGCATGTTGTGTGGTGAATCACGGGGTATTCTATTAATCAGTATCATATCATTGAAGTGGTATCATGACTTTTTGACATGTGACGATAATTTATCATAGCATTAGCAGATGTATAGTCTACGTATTTTTTTTAGATCGATCAAATTTTTAAAATGTGTTTGACACATGCGTTAGGTACCGCAGGTGTCTAGATGATCGCGCATACTATTAAGTTTGCTTAACGCGGAATTGTATTTTCGAAAGGAAGCTGAAAGACAAAATAAAAAAAGAAAGTTGAAAAGGTTAGATCGGATATATTAACAAAATTTGATCTGAAAGTTTGGCCCGGTTGCAAAGAATTTGGCTCGAGTTCAACGTTGGTAAGGGGACAATACCACGAACACGAGACGGTCTGATAACGTTTAACTGTGGAGACAGATCTGATTGGTGTGTTTTGGGGATTCATTTTGATTTGAACGCCTCCGTTTCTTGTTTGGAACCATTTGAACTTTCACTAAGCTCTGGTTAAAATTAACAAACCTTTTGACCAACCAGATCGTGGACAAGTTTTTATGGTTTACACGTTAATCAAATTGTTATTTCATGTAGTTGTATATCAAGGTCATTAAATGCAGTGTTGGTTATCAGTGGGTGATACACCCTCGAGCTGACATCATGAACATACATAGTGTACGTATATACCTTGTATGGTGCTATGATCTCTCGTATGACACTTTTACTGGACTAAGCAAGAAATAAAATCCTGTCGTCTTGTGATATTGATATTGTCTACGATAATTAAAAAGAAACAATACCGACTCCCTGAAGGCAAATGTTCTCCATCACAAGGAAATCGTCTATATAAGTGAATGATTTCATTTTCATTAATTGCATCGGACATATATACGATCAATATCTTATCAGCAACGCCAGAAGTTCGAAAGTCAAATACATATATAACGGATTAATAATATGCCATTGATCGTTGGTGAACTTTTATTGTATAACAATGTATTAGCTCACCTTGCACGGAGCTTATGGCATGGTGTGTTGTCCGTCGTCCGTCGTCCATCAACTTTTTCCTTTGAACGACTTCCTAAGAACTGGATAACCAAGGGCCGTGATATTTGGCCAGTACATGTATGTACCTGGGACATCTGCAAGGTCACCGGAGTCAAATATTTAAAAAAAAAAAATTAAGCAACTTTTGCTGAATAACCAGGAACCCAAGATAAGAGTGATGATCATCGGCCTGTAGGTACCTGACATGAAGTACTATAAACTTCCCGCAAAGAAATGAAAGTAATCTACTTTCACGATCACAAGGGTCAAATGTCGAAATATTTAAACAACTTCTCCTGAATAATCAAGAGGCCTAGATTATTGATATTTGGCCAGTAGGTACCTGGGACAGAGTGCTATACAATGTCTTCCAATAAATGACCTTGACCTATCGTGAATGTCACAAGGGTCAAATACGTTAAAATATTTGAATGACTTCTCCTGATTAACTAAGATACGTATGGTGATGGTATTCGGTCAGTGCCACGCTGTGATGAGGTGCTATAAAATGGCCGCCAATAAATGATCTTGACCTACTTTCAATGCCACAGTGGCCAAATTAAAAAAAACCCACACAATTTCTTCTGCTAACCGGAGGCCGAGGATAATGATGTTTTGGCCAATAGGTACCTGGCATGGAGTGCTATAAAGTTTCCCCAAATAAATGACATTGACCTACTTCCAAGGTCAAAGGGATCAAATATGTGAAAATCTTTAAATAACTTCTAGCATTACCATGCAGGAGGCTCTGGGTGATGATGTTTGACCAGTAGCATGCTTGGGTAGAGTAGTATAACGTTTCATTTAGTCTGGAACATGCTTAGGCCAAGGAGATTTAATATGTGGAAATATTTGCAAAATAACTTTTATTGAGAACATTTTCTAATGATTGCTCAAATATCTAGATGAGAGATACAGGCCCTCTGTGTCTCTTTTAATGAATATCCAAATGGAAATTATTCTTTAAATATATAATAAGCTCAACACACAATTACAAAATTGGAAATTTAAGTCTATACGAAAGACAAAAGGAACCGCGGGGAAAATATATGTATATTTCACCAATGCCAACGCATGTTAATTATTATAAATCACATTTTGGCGAAAAGACGAAACAACGAAATGGTTCGAATCAGCCACCGTATTCTCATATTAAAATCTGTTTATAGTAAGTGCTCTTGTTAAAGAGCTAAATACAGAATAGATAGAACGATAAGTATAGGCAGTCGCTACATATAGCCTTTATATTTTTATTTTTTATTTTTTGGTCACATCGTAGTGACTTCTGTACATCAAAGTATAACAAAGCGAGTTCTACTACTAACTAAATATTATCACAACCATTCATGGTAAATAGCATACACTAAACAGCAATCTAGTCTCTAGTATATCATTTTACCGTTATTAATTTCTCTGTAAACCTAACAATTGTATATGGTTATATGGAGGGGATATATAATGTTTCCCTGCTATGACCTAAACAGTAGGTCAAGGTCATTTTATTTTGAAAACTTTGTCAGGCTCAATCTAAGGCATATTTAAGCCAATATCAGGATTGAAGTCATTTCAGTTCTTCAGAAGATGTTTGAAGTTTTGGACATACACGTATTTGATCCCTATGACCTTGAAAGTGGGTCAATGTCATCTTTCTTTGCAAACATTGTTGGGCTATAAAGCAGGAAGCAGCATGCACCAGTCAATATTCTGATTAGTTTTGTTTTAAAGTTTAGACATATTTGACCTTTGTGACCTTGAAATAGGTCAAGGTCGTCTTTTGTTCGAAAACTTACATGTTTCCATCATAGAAAACTTCTTGCTAAATATCCTGATTCTAGGTTTTCCTTTCTTTAGAAGAGGTGTTTGAAGTTCTTAACATATATGACGTCTGTAACCTTGAAATTAGGTCAATGTCTCTTTAATTTGCTATGTAATACACCATCCAAGGAAGCTACCAGCCAGTTATCATGATTCTATGCCATTTGGTTCTTAAGAAGAAATCGTTTCAAGTTCTTGACATAGCTGGCGTTTGTGACCTTGAAAGTATGCCAAGGTCATTTTTGTTCTCACAATTTGCCGAGCTCAATCTAGGAAAGTTACCAGCCTAACATCATGATTTTAGGCCATTGCGTTCTTCAGAAGAAGTCGTTTGAAATTTTTGACACATATTCGACCCATGTAACATGTATCAAAGGTCACATGGGTTGAATATGTGTCATTTTTTACACGAAAAGTTTGTCAGGCTCAATCTAAAGAAGCTACCAAAAAAATAGCATGACTCTTAATATTTTGGTTCTTTAGGAGTCGTTTAAAGGAAACACAGATGGACGCTGCGCCACGGCATAAGCTCATTTGGCCCTTCTTGCCAGATGATGTAAAAACTGTAGTGTAATTCTTTGGTGGTTCGCCTGCAGTCAGCGGGACAGTGGAGAAAAGTGTGTACCTATATCCATTTGTTTGGTCATTTACTCCTTCAACATGGCGTGACCCTATAATTCGACAACAGTTTGAGCCACATTGATTCCTTATTGTACGATCAGGGAATTACGCACGATGTGTGAGACGAGAGCAGGAATATTATGTAGATTTAGCAGGGGAAACATGTGTCACCCATACCTCTGTCTGTGTAGTAAGTCCAATCTAACAATCTTAAATCATCTTTTATGTATTTCGCACAGCGTACGACATCAAAGGACAAGAATTAATCTGCTGACTTCGTAATGAACAAAAATCTGTATGATATCAATATCTACCACGACAGTTATGTTTACAGGTAATATAATACAGACAGAGCAATTAACACAGACATTTAAAGTGACGTTAGTGTATATATAGTGTATACCGGAATCTGATCGATCGAGTCAGTGGCCTGTAAACGCGATCATGCGTCCTCACGGGTATACCACAGTCACAGATCTAATACGTTTGGAATGGCAGGTGTGTAATCTTTGTAAAGTAAGTAGTACACGTATTATAGTATACTCAGCTCTGTTACTGCAGTTTCTCAATTGTTTTGGATATGTGTGTGTGTGTGTGTACGTATATAATCGTACATATTAGTCAGAAACGTATATACATGTACTATGGCTGTATATATGTCTCTGATATACATACAGTTTTGAAGTTTAAACATGATATACATGTAGTTTTGAAGTTTATACATGATATACATGTAGTTTTGAAGTTTATACATGATATACATACAGTTTTGAAGTTTATACATGATATACATGTAGTTTTGAATTTTATACATGATATACATGTAGTTTTGAAGTTTATACATGATATGCATGCTGTTTTGAAGTTTATTATCTATATAATCCAATAGAGACATTATGTAAAAGAAATATCTACTTTAAAGATTAATTAAAGATGTGCTTTATAAGCAGACTTGTATGTCTCCCTATATGTTTGCGCTAAGAACAATAACATGCATGCCATTGTATTAAGAATATCTATATTCGCTTCTGTACGCTATAACGAACATTATGTTCTATTGTAAACCATTTCAGACTGAATTTGTATTCATAGTAGGGTTTTTTAATGTTTATTTTTGTGTTATCAGTAATCAAATTGTAACATGAAAATGTGCTTAGAGTGTCAACTTAACTGATATTTTGTTCTGTATTCGTTTGAATTATAAGGATATTCGTACCTATAAACAATGAGTCGTTTAATGGAAAACTATTTAATGTTTCTCCAATGAACCTGTCTCCCATAGACTATATTGCTCCAATCCTATTTTCAAATCGTCGTGTTTTAACAAGAAATTAATACAAATGAATGTTGTCATTGTATATGAAAAAGTATTTTGAGCTTCATTCGAAAGCCGCATTATGGCGGAAAGCAGCAGTTTAAAATACCTGTAGGAAGATTCGATTCGGTGAAGAGGGGTGTCTGGAAGCTGACTTGTTCTTTTATAGACTGGCTGAGATTTTATCAACTTTAGCTTGTGTAAACTGTTGGTTGTAAACCAGCTTGATTGAATGATCGAGTGCTACCTCATTTACAGTAGATAACCTTACACTTTCCTAGCTTGTGGTTTTTACAATGATCTCTAGAAATATGAAATAAGTAGCGCCTATTGAAGTATAAGCAGGAAGTCAGCACAAAGTACGCATTTAGCTGCACTATATGGACTCATCAGTGGTACCTTGTACTAAAAGTCAAACAAGTGAAAATCAATCAAATTTGATCCGAAATACACAGTTGCGGGATCGCACAACGTTACACGGTGTGTGGTGTGTGCGCACGATGCGAGAACGATAACAATCTGGACAAGTATTGCTTGCGCGCATTTTTGCGCACGATGGACAATGGTGTGCGATAACACTCGTGGTTGGTATAAATTGAGGAATGCCTTAACTAACTAATATATACGTGTACATGTACCTTCATACGAGCCTTCCGGATTATTTTTAAAATCCGTAATATTGATCAACCAATGGTCACACAACTGTACATGTATGTATAATTCAGCGTAAAAGAGAAAGCGCATGCATACCCCCACCCCCACCACCATAACAATACAAAACAATAACTGCAAATACGAGATAAGCATCTTTAATCTTTAAACACAGATACAGCAGATACTTTTCTCTTAAACTAGTATTTCATGTAAACCGTGCAGAATACATTTCAGCCTCAACAGCCAACCTTCGGGAACTGAACAACCACCCGCGGAGTCAACACCTTACAATGTAAAATAATCACTACAGATACATGTACGAGGAAGGCAGCAGAGCTCGACTCATTTAGCATGTTGATGTAGAAAGCCGAACTAGGTAAACAGTTCCTCTGCACCATAAGGCGATCTGGTCCATTAAAAACCTGTCAGTTCTGCTAAACATCAAAAAGAAAATCTATGTCTATTGTGTGTTCGAAACCATATGTAAAAATACAGCATGAGGCGAGAGGTGCGTTGAAAACTCGTTATAACGTTTCAAATTTATATCTTTTGGATACAACAGGTATTTTATCCTGTAATAATATTTCATATACTAGTGATCCAGTGCAGAACAAATTCCAGCCACAATAATCCAACTAAACTTCCAAAATAATTTGGGAGTTAGTTGGTTGTGTGTAGCAGTGGTTAACACAACTGACGCATAGCAAGCACCAAGGACAATTTATTACAACAGATGTTGTTTTTAACAATAACATATTTCTGTTCAAAAACATTTAAAAAAACATCTATGTTAAAGTTAAAATGACTGAAACTGTAAATGATGGAAGAATAAATAAACGTATACCCAACCACCCAAGGAAGTCATTCATCAGCCCTCAAGCTATCAAACCTCAATACCCAGCCAGCCAAGGAAGTCATTCATCAGCCCTCAAGCTATCAAACCTCAGTTATCTAACCATAAGCTATCAAACCTTAGTTATCTAACCATAAGCTATTAAACCTCAGTTATATAACCATAAGCTATTAAACCTCAGTTATCTAACCATAGGCTATCAAACCTCGTGTTGCTAAACATTATCTGTATTTGGTTGAGATATTCGATGCTTCATTGAATTTGTCGTTTCCAGTTGGTATTCATATTGGGTGTGAATGTCAACAGATGAATGGTTAGATTTCATTTCGTGCAGAAATAAGGAGACTTAAACACTACTAATTGAAACTATAGATTCATAGTTCGTTCCTTCGATCTTAATCAAAACATTTTTTCTTGCCTTTTATTAGGATATAATGAGGAAACCGAAACCTAGGAAGAGTTCCTCGTCGACAATAAGATGGATACTACTGACATTGCTGCTGGTCGCTGTGTGGGGTCTGTTTGCGACAAACATGTTCGAGGTCCTAGTATCAGGCAAGGTCATCTCGTTAAGACTCTTAAGAAATCATCTTTCACGTGCATGCACGAGCGACGAACTGACGTCATTAGTGTACGACATGTCGCCATTAAAAGATGACAAGGCGACGTTTTCCGAAACGGAACTGGCTCGGATAAAAGCTTGTAACAGATCGGCAGACACACAAAGAAAACACGGGAACAAGAAGACCAAAATGTTTAAACCAGTTCGCTGGACATCACACACATACCTTGACAACGGGAGTACTGTTGTTGAACTCGGCGGGTATATGGGAGACGATATCGAGAACCTACTATCCCGGTTCACACCCAGACGTTACATAGTCGTTGAACCCGTGTATGTTTTCTACAAGAAGCTTGTTGAAAGATTCAAACATGTTCCAAATGTCTTGATCTATCATTTTGGTATTGGAGATAAAAATGATAGAACAACTGTGAGCATGCGCCGTGACGGCACTTCAAGTTTTAACACGAAAGAGGGGGGTGTTGATATTCGTCTCGTTAGTGCTCAAAGCTTTTTTCTTGGAATCGGAGTGGGTTTTTTCGATGTGGATCTACTAACTATGAACTGTGAGGGATGTGAATTCGCTGTGCTCGATTTTCTTCTGAGTACAAATTTGATAAATAATATAAGGAACATTCAGTTCCAGCCGCATAAAATAGAACAAGTTAAAGATTCTGTTTATAAATACTGTGAATACCACGAGCGCTTAAAACGAACTCACGATGTTGTGTTCCGACACCCGTTCTGGTGGGAAAGTTGGACTTTGAAATACAAACGTCTACCGAATATATTTGATGACATTACAAACAACTCTACTCTAATGGATGAAATCCTCAGTTAACATGTTTTGTTTATATCTAATTTACACGTGTTTACATGAAATATATTTACAAATAAATAGTTACTTTTTTCTTAAATTATCTTTAAAATTTAAAAAAAGGAAAAAAAATGAAAAAAAAAATCAAGTGGTTTCCTGTGAATAATGGAGTCAGAGTTTACTGGAAATGAACAATACGCTTAGCAAATGACACATGTAACAGTTGAAATGAGAATCGAAATATATTCATCTGTCAGGACCTCTAATACTATATCCATTTAAATGGATCGTTTGCCGTTCTTTGTATAATATATATATATATTGGCCTTGTGGTAGGGATCAATCATGTTTCACGAAAGTGAATTATTGATCTCGGGGAAACAAATCTTAGTTTCTGGACCAAAATCATCAGGATTCTAACAGTCAATGGTGCTTAGAGTAAGAACACTGTCTAGGATACGTAGAAGGAGAAGTTAATTTTGGTCTGGGACTTATATTTAACAAACAAAAAAACGAGCTGATTGCGGACTTTTAAATTTAAATTTAAATATAGTTTTTCAAAATTCTTTTATTCTAAATACATGTATATAACTTAAATGCAGAAAAGACATTTCAAATTCATTGATATGATTTATAGTTGGAATTAAAATAAAATTTTAAGTTTGCAACATTATTTGACTTATTTTCAATTATTTCAAATTTTGCCTCATTTGAGATTTTTTTTAAAACATATCTTTGTGTCATATTCAGCATCCGAAGCAGGTAGTGAGAAGCATTTCTATAATCCAAACCTGCGTCAAACATTGCAATATGTAAAATTTCGAACAAAAATATAAAATTATTGAATATTGCAACGTTTGACACGCCATAACAGAACGTAGCACAGATGAGGATGCTGATAAAGGAAGAACTTGACCAAAAGTTAAAGTCACTTCACCATCTGAAGCAATCAATCCATCAATCATTGTGATCAACGTTTATACAGTGGAAACAGAGCTAAAACTTACATGATGCAAATTGAATAGGAAACTGACCAAGTCGCTTCATTAATATTTAGATAAAAATGTCTTGTCTAACCCCCTCTTCCCTCTCTCCTCCCCATCTCACCCCAATCTCTCCCTCTTCCCTTATCTACATGTGCATGTTTATATTTGTGCGCATGTGTGTGGTTGGGTGTGTGAATGTGTGGGTGTATGTATGTCAACTTATCAATTAATTTATCATACATAGATTATTGTCGTATTTCTGCCACCATGAAGTTTTATTAAATATATTATTGTACAGGGAAAGGGCTTGATATAAATTGTACAACTTGTGCCCAATTCCATTGCTATGTAAAAAAGGCAATAAAATATATTTAAATAAAACAAATATAGCAGATTTCCACCGATCAATCAACACGTTTAAAGCTGTCTGACAGGAACGTTTTTGTCTAAATCCGGATTGAGAATCGAACAGGATATTATAGTTAGAGATATATTTATAGAGGTGTAAATTTATATGTTTTTCTAATATCTTAGACATTATGATATTTAAATAGGTCTATAATTATTCACGTCTGATTTTGAACCCTTAAAATGAATTGGAGTGACCCTAGCTAATTTGAAAATGGCAGGAAAAGATCCTTCACCTGGGCTCTATAACTCGACCATGCAAGTTAAATATTTTAGTAATAGAAGGAGTCAGTATTTTGTTTGCGAGTTTCAAGATGTTTGGTGAAAGGCTATCTAGTCCCACGGCTTTATTAGCATCAATTGAGTTTATGTAATTCGATACGAATAGACCTAGATACAAATATTTTCAAAATTAAAGGTCAAAGGTCAGGTCATACGTCACAGTGACCTAAATCTTGCACTCTGCACTCCTCCATCCCAAAATGTCATTGGACATCAAATCTGGTTATTCCAGGTGAAATAGTAGAGAAGATATGCCCCAGACCAACAATTTTTCAAATGTTAAGGTCAAAGGTCAAAGCATAGGACACAGTTACAGTGTAGGTCAAAGTTACCTTTTTCTTGCACTCTTCACTCCGCCATCCAAAGATGTCGGACAGTCCTTTTACACTAAATCTGGTTACTCCAGATGAAATAGTCAAGAAGATATGCCCCAGTCCAACTTTTTCAAAAGTTAAGGTAAAATGCCAAATCATAGAGGACACAGTGATGTCAAAGTGACCTTCTTGCACTCTTCACTCCGCCATCCAAAGATGTCGGACAGTCCTTTACACTAAATCTGGTTACTCCAGATGAAATAGTCAAGAAGATATGCCCCAGTCCAACTTTTTCAAAAGCTAAGGTAAAATGCCAAATCATATAGGACACAGTGGTGTCAAAGTGACCTTCTTGCACTCTTCACTCTGCCATCCAAAGATGTCCTTGTACATCAAATCTGAAACAGTATAGAAGATATGTCTCTGATAAACTTCTCGAAGTGCAAACCTATATTCCTTCGAGAACCCTTCGGGGACTACAAAAATAATGAAACAATGTAAAAAAAAATCAGTTCATGAAAATGTACATGTTTGCCTAAATTGCCAAGCCCAAACAACCTTCAAACTGTAGTTCACTAATTACTGTGTATTTCGGCCATGTATGCCCCTTGAAGGGGCTAGCATGATTCCTGGGTGGTAACAGACCTGGGGAAAACTTTGGTAGTTGTTGTCTATGGATTGCCAGCAGGTGTTTTCATTATAGGGCACTGATTTCAACCATTTCAATGTTATAAGGTCACCATGCTGGAGTGACAGGACCCTATGAGCAATCATAGTTAGTACCAGTGTATTAATCTTTTCATAACCTGCAAATTAAAGAGCATGGTAATTTCTAAGTACACACAGACAAACAATAAAGAACTGATGATGTTACAACATCTCTCATTTACAAGCTTTACCTGGCCTGTAGGTGACATGCAAACGCAATAAGATTAGCTCAAAGATGATTCTAAATCAGGATTAAGTAGTTAGGAAAGATGATTCTAAATTAATATTAAGTAATTATATATAATTATGGTTCCCATTTTGTAACTCTAAACCAGCATTCAATTTCTCAATATTCCAATATTGGAGAAGCTATGGCTGCAATTTCCATTCCTTTTGAACATTTTAATGTAAGAAAGCATTATATCGTGAACATATTTTGAACCTAAAGCATGATACCACTGTACCAGTATCTTCAGAAGCCAGACGCTGCAATAGATATAAAAAGGACCATTGCAATTACAACACAGAAATGATAAATATACAACAGTGATCTCACCAAGTTTTACAAGTGATACATGGACCTGGGTTGTAATGCAATTATGTTATATGTTGTAGTGATGTAAAAATAAAAAAATAGAATAAGAAAGTTCATATAATCCAAACAAGAGATCCCAGAGGGATCTTGGCGCCCACCATTGTACCATCTTTATTAGTTCTTTGTCAGTTTGATCTTTTCTCTTCTTTTCTCTAATCTGTTTTATCGAGTCATGTTAACAGTAAATGCACCTTGTGGTAACTTTTGATGTAAACTAAATACTGCTGTGTATAAAAGACAACCTTCAAAGTGAGTTTGTCATTTCACATTTTTACTAGTACAGTACTTAATGTGAAAGAAATAAAATCGATTATTGCAATATAAGAAAGATCTGTTTAGTTCTTCCTTTAGCCATTTTTTATGATCAGTCTCAAGATATAAAATGCACAACGAGGGATCAAGGGGAACGTACATATCAAACTTGAGAAAGATCCCTCAAGTTATTCCTGAGAAATAGTACTAACAAACCTTCAATGTCAAAAATCGAAGACGACTGTCGGTCGGCCATTTTGTTTATCCGATCACTCTCATAAGAAAATATGCATATCTTCATAGCAAGGGGAATCTACATGAAACATTTAAGAAAGATCTCTCCAGTTCTTAATGAGTAATAGCCATAACAAACCTTCACTGTCAAAAACCAAGATGGCAGCCTGTCGGCCATTTTGTTTACCTGATCAGTCTCAAAAGTTAAACTGCATAACGAGGGACCAAGGAAAACCTGCATATCAAATTTGAGAAAGATCCCTCCAGTACTTCCTGAGAAATAGCGAAAGCAGGAATTTTTAAGGACGGACAACGGACCACGGACGCAGGGCGATTTGAATAATCTGATGGTGGTCTAAAAAGTCTTTTTGAATTCTTTGAGAGAATTTCATGTTGGTAGTGACCAACATATATTATTGATGTATCATTTATCGTGGGTACATAATTGTCTGACATACGGTATATATCGCTGACAATTTTCCGAAAAAAATGGATCTGAAGAAGACTTTTGTTGAAATTTCAGCCAATTTGCCCTCTTTCGCCCCTCTCTTCATTTTCATACCATCAAAATTCAGTCACATGAAAGTCATTCCAACCAACTTTGAATTTACCCAACAGTGTTATTTCCCCATATTAACTACAGTAAGGCCAACAACAAAATTCCTTTTGCTTTAGATAACCTGATGATGACCTACCTTAAATTTTCCTGTGGACCTTAGGGAACATTTTATCACCTACTTTGTATCCATGAAGATCATTTTAATATTCCGGCAAAGACCACATGCACTTTCTTTCTGTTATGGTCATGGGATCTTGACCATATTCTTGACAGAAAAATAACCAGTGAAATGCATAGAAATTCATTTTCTTACATTTGTTTTTACCTTGTAAGTATAAATTGATCCGTGAAAATAAAAAAAATAAAAAAATAAAATTGCCTGCTTACTGACCAATCCTATTTTTCTCTGGAATGTTGCCGGAAAAAACATTTTGTTTTGTTTTAGCCTAAATATTAACCCTTTCTCAATGAGGAATGAATGATATTCATAAATTTGAAATAGGCCTACAGGACCTTTCCATCTATGAAAAGTATTTGAACTGTTGAAAATTTAGTCAATTGGACCTCTTTTGGGCTCAAACCCCTTGCAGATTAGATTCACATGTAATTCATAAATTTGGCTTGCATTTTACCATGGAACTTTCCTTCAAAAGTTATCTGAAGTGGTTATTATGACGGACAAAATGCATTCATAAGAGGTCAACACCAAGACTTTGATAACTAAAAAAACCATTTTCTAACTTAAGTTCACAAATCATAAATGTAATACTCACTGCCTACCAAGATGTTTGAATGTCCTGTTGTTATATGAATGCAGATGGAAATTAATATACCGGTATTAGCCAAGTTTATGCAAGGCTCAGAACTACAATTTGCAATTTGTTATGAGGTTGTTTTTTTTATTCCAAAATATATACCAATTAAATAAAAAGATCCTTAATTTTCCATAAATGTCAATTATGATTCTGCAATATAATTGTCAAAAATTAAGATTGCACACATATACTGGTACATGCAATTCAAATCTGTACATTTTGGACGATTTTGCGAAAGCATCAGGTCTCTAAATAAACGTTGAAAAAACACAAGCAGTATGGACTGGGGCCAGACGGGGTTGTGGGTTGGAACTTCTACCAGAAAGAAATGTATTATGGAATCACCAAGGAATTTTATTTTTTTTAGGAATAAAATACAATTTTCAAAAAACAA